TGACCTACCCTACAACGGCCGATCGAGAGCGCGGATTCGTGCTAATGTCGATACCTCCGCTCCCGGACGTCGTAGCGACTCGGAACGCAAATCGTTGGAAAGAGAAAACCACCGCGCTCCCGGTGGACGTAAAATTATTCCTCTATAAAAGAAACATCAATTGGCAGGATTATGTGAACACGAAGGACGTCGATTTTTAGGCTTGCTCTAAGATGGAAATTAATCCACGTTGGAAATCGACGGGGAAGGCTTGCCTTGGATTTGTAATACAAAATGTAAGTTTAATCGATGGAGAGTTTTAAGGGAAGAGGAAAGTGATAATAAATGATGTAATAATAATAAATGTGAATATATAATAATAACGATAAATGTTTCTGGAATGTCGCTATCGAGTTGGGGAAGACAGAGCATGTTCGTGATCGGGGGAAGACCGGAAACGCGATGGGGTTGAATCAGCACCGCTTTAAATCGCAGCTCGGGCGTAAATTTCCGATGTTCGATCCGTCGGCGATTCTTTTATCGTACGGCTTTTTCATTAGAATTACAAACAATCGCCTCGAGAATGCTTTTTAATCCTGACCAATAATGCAATCGAGCTCGCTCCTGCAACAACGTCTTCCAGCTGAGATGGAGGAGTCCTCATCCTCCCTCATCCTCGAGTTCGACCCTCTTTGTGCACTATCCTTTTCTCCCCTCCCACCCGCATTTCTCTCTTTTCATCCCGTTCGTTCTCTCGCTCTCCCGAGACCGCCGGTAGCGATGCTCGACTCTCTCGTTGCTTTTTAAAACAATCGGCGCTCGTAAACAACGTCATTCCCAGCCCTTTGTTTCCGCCGCCATCTTGCAGCGAGCTGCAGTTAACTCGCTGGTTGTTGCTACACGGACAATTATTTTTATTGCTCGTCGTATTTCCGGCAGCGCCGGCTTCAGGCATTCGTTCATCACGGCGCGACAATATAATCTAAACCACGTACACCTCCATTCGGGTTTTAACAATTAATGTTTATTTTACCGTAATTAAAAGCTACGAGAGGAAAGGGTGGAATGAGAAGAAACGTTGCAGCAGTACGTTGTGTACGTTGTTGCGCGTACCTTGACTCTTCATCTTTGCCGCGAATTCTTTTTTTTTTACTCTCCGTTGCTGAAAATTTATATATCTGCGTGTTTCTAAATTTATATATTTCGCACGCGGCAACTGTCGAATGCGTTTTGCGCCTTCCCGTTCGGTATGTTCTCGACGCGTCCGCCCCTTCGGCTTATTTCTCTAATGCCGTGTCCCGTTTTCCGGCGAGACGATTTTATTCGTCCGCCCACGTGTGGCCGAGTCAATTGAGAAATTGTTATCGCCGTCGCTACTGTTGTTACTTCCAGACGACCCGGGCGATCCGGCTGGCGGTCGTTCCGCGCGAGAGCTTTAAAGCCTCGGAAAGAGTATACGAAAGCTCTTAGCATGTCGGAGCCGGTTAGCGGTGAACGCTAAATGGAGCTCGACGATTTAAGAGCGGCATGCAATCACGTGAAACGCGATTATTTGTCGCGATGTCGCGAAATACTCGCGTTAGGAAACTCCCGTGCAAATTCGGAGGACGCATCATTCCGCGCGATGAATTTGTCACCTGATTAGTGGAAACTCCGCTTTACGCTTTTGCGCGGAATTACACACGCGTATACGCGCACACACGCGCGCATAGAATGAGCAAAGCTTGACTTTCGAGCGAAATGAAAAATTCAAATTAAGATTCGGAAATTGGTTTAAGTTCAACCGCGAGAGTAAAAATTAACGTTGCACGCCGAGAGAAACGTAAAGTGTATTCAAACTACGTTCGCAAAATGTAGCGATTTAAACAGATTATATTCTCGTAATTGTTTATCCACACAGTAAAACAGAAAACATTTTGTATCTGTCTTTGATATAATATTTGTGTTAATTTTCAACGTATTCACCTTGTGTTAAACTAAAGAACAAGAATCCGAGCGTGTGAGATGAGTTAAGTAAGTTAAGTTTAACACAAAATCACCGCGCGAGCTGTAGAAATCAGGACTCCCGAATGAAACGCATTAACAGGATTAACCGAACGATTCGCGTCTCGCTCGGAAAGTTCCCGTAATATTTAATCAGACGGTAATTCCCGACGCATACGCAAACCGCCAGCGTCTTATTCCCTCTTAGACAAACATCGTTCCGCGCTCATCCCCCTTAAAGGGTTTGTTCAGGCGCTGAAACGCGGCTCGCCTTTTAATTTCGCGAGGGCCGATTCCGACGAAGGACTTCCGTGGATTAACGGCTGCCGGTCGGGAGGGGGAAAGGGCTGTTGAACAGCGGCGATTAAGCGTCGTCGCATAAGAATGCATCCCGAGCGCATAATAATCCCGGACGATGCCTCATCGCGGCAATAAATGTCTCGCCGGGGCGGCTGGCGCGTCGCGTTGCATTGAAGGGAAAAGGTAGTTAAATTGAAATTACCAGCCGTGTCCCTCGAAGGGCTAAGACCCGTAGCTGGAGACCCGCTATCACTCCGCTGTCTGGGTTAAACCCCTGTAAACAAGGAGTAGCGGCGACGAAGAGAACCAGCCGGGCTAACTCATTGCGGCCACCGTCCGTTAATCACTCCGATTGCTGGATATCGTTTCGCGGCGGAGTAAATCCCGTTGCCCGGCTAAGTCGCAACGATGATCCGCCGATCGCGAAACGATCACGACGCGACGATACGCGGCATCGAGTAGGACAGCCTCGCGGACGGGATAAAATTAACAATGGCGCGAGAGTAATTAACGATTCCGGAAAAAACGGATAGGTAAATTCGGGCCGATTTTCACCCCGGCAACGTCAAAACCGGTATGCGCTTTGTAACATTTCAAATTGCTTAGAAAAGCTTAAAAAGGTGGTAAAAAAACCCGTACCGTTTTCACTTGCCACTCCGGGGACCCGAAATCAGGTCATTTTGTCCCCATCGTCCTTCCCGCTATTTATTTATTTTACTTACAGGCAAATAGGAACCAAAGTTAAATGTTAGAAAATAACTAACCGAGCGACTTTACTCACCGCGGCCTTTGAGAGGGAGAGAGGGAGAGAGGAGACTTCAATTATCGAAACATCGTAAGCGGCGTCGCACGGCGTGACTTTATCATTTTATCGTCGTTTTAATACGCGAGACCAAAGTCCAACACGGAGAGAGCGCGGTTTCTTGCGCGAGTTTGCACGCGGCTTTCATTAGTGAGAGTTGCCAGCCGGAAGGCAGAAGCGCGGTTAAAGTTGGGGAGCTGATTGAAGTACCTCGGCGGTTTACCACCTCCGCAGCCCTGCCGTTACCCTTCGTTCAACCGGCCCCGTCCCCTCCTATTCTCTTCGATCGTTTTCTAACTTTTCGAAAAGCGCCCGCGCTCATTAAGCGTAAAGCAAACAATCCCGTCGGAATCCGGCGATCACGGTTATCCCGCTTGCGAAAGAGCCCCGCCGCATTTGGGAAAGAAGACGGTCATTGTTCGGCCGGCACGATGTTGCGGAGCTGTTATTTTCCCTCGGATCGTTCTCGAACTTCTCAAATGTGATCGCCTTCGTTAGGGAAGGGGGCGAAGAACCGTCTCGGGATTCAAGAATCTCGGTGTCTCGGTGTCCGCAAAAAGTCCCGGCGGATTTATTCGCTGGGGGAAAGAAGAAGAAGAAGCGATCCGCGGCCGAGACTCGCTCCGTTATCCCGGAGCCGGTTGTCGAGCGACGATACCTTTCGTTTTCAACAAATTGGGAAATAAATTCGGCACGACTTTGCCTTTAAGGCGATTTCATTTGACAGACGTAGCGCCGGAAGGGTTAATCAGCGAGGAAAATTAACGGGCGTTTTTTTTTTGCAACAAGAAGAACCGGACGAAGTTGGCGAGCCCGAAGGAGTCTCATCGATTTTATAATCTACCCCCTTCGCAGACTATTATCCCCCTCTTCCCGCCAGCCTCAGCCCCCCTTCCTGATAACTCGACGTCCTCCGCTCCCCGCACACTGACGGAGGGAGGGAGGTAATCCTTTTCTTTTTCTTAATGTAATACGTCGTTGATTCGCAGTTAATGAAGCGGGAATGAACGTCGGAAAAAACGACACGTTTTGCAGAAGCGAGAAACGCGCGTCGGGAAATTTTCCGCGACGGTCTCACTGAAATAGAAATTTTCCCTTCTTTTGCGTTCCTCTTTCTTTGTTTTTTTTTTACAACTCGCACAAGCGAAAATTTCGCGCGTAAACGCCGGCCAGGTGGAAATTATGCGCCGAAGCACGCTCGCGCCGCACTTTTCACGCTTCCGCAGTTGCGATTCTCCCCTCCCTCCGCCCTTCACCCTACCATTAGCATGCCGGTGGAGCTATCGAACGCGAAGATAAATTAGGTCGTTTACGCCTCAAACGAATCACGTCTCTAAATACGGTAGATCGTAATTATCGTAATGCAAGAGGCTCAATAATAATCGGAAATTCTCAAGCGATACTCTCTTACAGTTCGCCAGCCTATAACTTTGTACACACATAGTAAAAAATTACTGCTAAATGTAACGCATTTCACATATCCCAAACGATTCGCTCAAATTCTCGTGTTAATTTAACGCAAGTTGCATATGTCGAAAAGTAATACAAATATGATATAAAAAATTAACACAAAATTAATACGTTCGACACTGAGATATAAAATATGTTACTTTAACACTTACACATGTCGGCACAAAATGTTGAGCTAACATAAATATGATGAGCAAATTTTGAACAGGGACCGATTTTAACACGAGAACAAAATATTTTTTTACCGTGCATACCCTCCTTCGTGATTCACATCGCATTCTATTCGATGCTCGCTTCCAATTATAATTGATCTCCAAGGGAGACGACAACAGTATCACTGAACCCCCTGTGTTCGAGGGTCTCATTGATAATGAATTAATTATGCCGGGGCGCGCGCTTACGCGAAATACACACCCGGCGCTCTTCTTAGCGAGTCTGGCTGCTCAATTTCTACCCTTTGTTCTAGACATCCCTACACCAGCTTGTAGTTACGTGAGGTACAGCAGCCTGGAGGACGTGAGGCCGCAGGAGCTGGGCTTTCGCCAATTAGAATTCACGCCCACGGTCGTCTCAAAAATACGGTAAGGTTGCCCGTCCGTTCGTTCGTTCGTTCGTTCGTTCGTTCGTTCGTTCCTATAATCACGCCATTGTTAACACGTTATTAAAAGGGAGGCCGGGCGAGTTGTCAAGACGGCACCTTAAAGGGCTCGAATTTAATTATGCCGGCTCGACGATCCTTGCAGCGCGGTCCTGCTCGCACGCGCGCGCGCGCGAGAGAGTCTCCTAATTAGCGATGCGGCTGCTGTAGCTGCCCTTCAACCCTTCGCACGCATAATGGAAACTCGCGTCGCGATGCGAAAGGGCGGCTCAACGTAAAGGGCGAAACTCGTCCCGTTACGTGCCGTTTTGCTCACAGCGCCCGCTAATTACGGCTCGGTAATCGAACGCGCGATCGGACCGGGAAATTCCGCGATCCACGGGCCGCGACGTCAGGTCGTGACGGAGCCACGGGGCGATGGAATTTCAAATTGATTCATTAATCACAGGCCGAATCAATACGGGGGTTCTTTCATGCGCGCGACGGACGTTTCTAAATCTGAGGGAAATTGGGAAATACATCTTAATTGAAGCTGCCGGACGAGAATTCCTTTCGACGGGAAATACGAATGCGAATGAAAAGCCGCAGAATAATTTGCGCGAGCCTGATTACCACATTCGCTGTTCTTCTGTCAATTATCACTTTTATGAATAATCACTCACCGTGCGTTATTATTTGATATATTTCACCGTTTATTTTCTTTTTAATTTCCCATCCGTTATATTTATTATTACGCGTCCGGAACATCTGGACGAAGATAAACAATGCCGGGCGCGATCAAAGATACGCTCGCTTCGAATATCTCGCTCTCGCGATCTCGCGCACCAAGTTATTGACAGCGAGTAACGAAATTTATTAATAAAATACTCCACCGCGTTTTTCCAATAAAGCACGCTCGAGAAATAACTACGAAATTATTTTTATGCGACGCAATGTGCGTCACGAGCGCGCGCCCACGCGATGTATTTTAATTAGAGCGGCGACACGTGAAACGCGCCGACGTGTTAAGCGTCCGGTATCAATTAACAACTAATTATAGTGCAACGCTCACGATCGGAATCATACGACGCATTTCGATATATATTTGCATGTGGAAATTTGTTGGAAAAATGCTGAAAAACACGAGGGGTTGTCGCGAAGCAGGCGCATTAAATAATGATTATTGTGTTTCCCGTTCGGCTGTGAAGGAAATGCGATTCCCTATCTCGCGATTAATTCCGACGATCGTGGGATACCTCGTCCCGAACGGACAAACGCCAGGGAGAATCGAATTAACTTTTTCGTCGGATCGAACGTCATCGGTGCTTAGGTTTTCGGTAACTATAAGCCGCAACGTTCAATACGTGGTAAACGAGATAGAAAGTTAGACGATCCTGCGGAAGTTAGAGCGATCTAGGAATCCAAGCTCAAAGAGCCCGCTGTTATTGTGCGCCGGAGCTTGCGAGAATCGATTTCGGGCTCTCGTTTAACCGGTCGTTCCGTTATACAACAAAAGCGCGAATTTAATCGCGAGGCAGTGCTCTCACAATTTACTTCTCGCGATTTCGAGGCTCTCGAAATATTCGTGGATACAAGAATCGAAGGACTTGAGGAAAATTCGACGAAAGCTCAAGGAGAGCGGAAAAAAGGCTTCGTCCCATGTTCGGGGCTCCCAATTGGTGTTATAGTGAAACAACCTGTGTTAGGACAACTTTGAGTATTCTAATTGGAATCTATGTTGCACACAGAGTAAAAGCTATTTTGAGCTTAGTACACAGTGTTTGTTTGACTTGGTTTTGTTTAATATGAACAACATAATGAATCCAGAAAAGAGGATGAATTTTAACGAATCCGGGAAATCCTCTTCCCTCGTGCGTATCGCGAAATCCGAGAAAATTTCCCCGGGGGAAATGCGAGCTTCTCCACTTTTGCTTCCCGACGAAATTCAATTTGATCCCACGCAAGAGTGTAATTAATATCGTCTACCGAGAATCGCGCCGATTCGCAAAACACGCGGACACCTTCAGCTCGATATTCCGTCGTCGCGGCGACGAGTATTAACGGAGGAGTTAGCGGTGGACCGGTATCACGTCGTATGCACTCACGCGCGATCCCTCCTGATACAAAGGGACGCGTCCAGTATGACGTGCAGTGCACCCAACGGTCCTCTCTCTCGCACATACATGTACACGCACTCCCTCCCTCTCTCTTACTTCCATCATCTCCATTTCTCTACACGTGTAACGCGGAGCGGCAATAATTCAATTATTGGGACGGTCGATAGCGTTGCGGGCAGGAGAGGCCGCTGATACGGCATGATTAACGAAAATTCTCCTTACGGACGCGCCGGCGTGTTCCCCGTGTGTTCCACGTGTGTGCTCACGTGTGCGCGAGCGTTTGTCCGGCTGGATGTTTACGTGAGCTTCCCGCCCGAACGCCGCGGGCCAAATTGCTCGACGCGACGCTGCGTTATTGAAGGGTCGCTCTCACCCCCCGAGGGAAATGCAATTCCGTGTCTCACGGAAGATTATTATTGCAGGCGATGGGATACTCTCTGTCAGCGGACCGTCCGTCTTTAAGCGTGGTCGAGGAGAGTGGTCCGCCACAGTTAACGTCGTCCGAACGCTCCTTGCATGTCAGTTAATGGAAACGAGTTTATTTCTATACGAGGGTCGAAGATGATGATGATATCAACGAAATATGCGCGGAGGAAGTCTCGCAAACTTCCGAAAGGCGTTTGGAGAAGACCCGAAATCCCCGGGGAATTTGGGGGAATTTATAAAAAATTCGAAATATGTTCGCGAAACGCGAAAGAGAGAGAGAGAGAGAGAAAGGGAGAGGCTAAAAAACTGCCAGAGTTTCTTGGACTCTTGAACATTCCCGGTACACCGGGGAATCCTCGCGTTCTCTCTCGGAGTGAATCCCGCGGGAGATAAAGTATCGCCGGGCGTCCCGGGGATTTCGCGCTGCGAACGAGACGAGCGGAATGCCGAGCGACTGTCTCGCGGAAAATAATCGCGCGCGCGGAGTCGCCTCCGCGAGTTCGCCAAGTGCCATAAACGTCGGGAGTTGCCGAGTCGCGGCAATTCGCCGCAGGGGCCGACTGTTTTAAACGACAATCGCATTAGTACGGCGGCGGGCGACTGATTGCCGCGGACTTCCCACTCGCTCTTTGATAGTTCCGCGCACCAAGTTTCGGCCGTGGAGCTCCGTCAAAGCCACCGGAACTCCGCGTAAACTCATCCATTCCGGGCGCAAAACTTCTCCGGGAATTGTCGCCGTCGTCGTGCCAAATCGCCGTGCCGAAGAACCGCGCCGCGAATGCGAGACGTCGAGAGCTGAGAATCGACAGGCCGACCGCGAAGATCAGCTTAAGAGATCTGCTTCCAACGACAATCGCGTCGCGAGGTAGCGCGCCGGAACTCTTTCGAGCCGCGATCAATCGGCACGCGGCCATCTTGCAAGCTTAATTAATACAATCCGATGGAATGGTAATCCGACTTTGCGGAAGCGTCGTTTGCGGAAATGTCATTTCGTATTAACGATGGGAGGGGAGGAATATTAATGCAGAAAGGAGAATCGTACTGGCACAGAAAAACATTGTCCTAAATCAATGACAGATATTCTCATATATAAGCAAAAATATTACAATAACCTTCGAAGATTTTTAGTCTTAAATTGAGCGCAAGTAATATTTGCGTCAATACAAATTCAATCAAAGTCGAAACTAAAAATATTCTAAGAAGATTACATGTGAAAGTATCTATTATATCACTGATTTAAGACTAATTTTTTTCTTCGTATGACCGTATATCCCGTAATATCCACGAGCATAAAATATATCGCTCATTGTACAAAGAAAGGATCAAGTTTCCGGGAACCTTTGAATGTCTGTAAAAACAACGACGGTTCTTTCTCACAGGTGACAATAAAAAATGAGGGAGAATAGAAATTCTAGCAAGGTGCTACTCCCAGAAACATAATTCCAGTTTCTTAAGAAGCAATTAATTCCGTCCCCGAAGGAACGATAAAGGACGAGGGTCGGAGGGCAAGCCAGACATTTAAATTAAGTGGCTTCCTTCGAAATTAGATCAGGGAGAATGTTCACCGCGAATGTTTTCCGTCGCGGTGCCTTGACCGGAATATTTTATCCAGATCAATAATTAAAGTCCACGGTGGAATGATAAAATCGACGTCGGCTTTCAATTTTGAAACATAAATGAGATGGCTTTTCGAGCAAGAATGGAGAGAGCCCATAATGGGTGCTTCGATTTTTGCATATAACGGATTACTTTGCGGGAATAATTTTTTTGGTATGCTTTTAAAGTCGCATATGTAAACGTGAGGCGACTTATTTATTTCTGTTTTTTTACTACGGCTAATATTCGGCGAGATTTCTATAATAGCAGCGATAAAAGCATTTCATGTATATTGTCGGCTAATAGCTCGAATTTACTAGCAAAGTATGAAGGGAGGGGGATAGTCAATATTTGTTACCAACAATTATGCTTCGATTATGCCTCGATTTCAAGGAAATATTCCACTCCTATACCTTCAAGCAGTTTACAATATGTATCGTGTTATTATATGTGTAAGTTATATACCTTCGACAAAGTTTGGATGCTCCAATATATCTTCGCAGATTTTCCGATCTAATTAAAAAGTGATACTTCTTCGTATGTTTTTATATCGGATTAACTTTTGAACGCACACAAATTCCTCCGAACGTGTTCTACTTGTTCTTCTGCTTTTTCAAAGTTCTTTTTTTTTCTGCGAGGTATATAGTTTACGTAGTTTTTGATGGAGAAATCATATACAGGGTGTACATCGATACAATTGCCAACGGGTTTTCTAAGTACTGGAACGCTTCCGCAAATATTTCGGTTTTATTTCGGCCTTCCCTATGTGTGTACTACACACGTATCAATCGATTATTAATTATCTCGCGATAAATATGGACGCTCGTGCTCCGTAACGCGTGCAAGATAATCTTAGCCATCGAGA